GGGGGGGAGGGGGTGACAGTTTCCGGGGCGAAATCTGAGTCCGGAGCCGAGTGGGTGAGTATGGCGTGGAAACACGAGCCCTTGCCCGCGTCGTCGGCTCCGGCCGTGCCCGCTCGGCTCGGCTCGACTTGGCTCAGGGCGGGCTTGATGAGCGTGGCGTGGACAGGTTCACCGATCCACACGGCGCGTCTTGCTCTCCCCCTTTTCCTTTGCTCCGTTTTTTTTTTCCCTCCCGTTGCCCCCGGTATGACCCTCCTGTCTCGCAGCGTGATGATCTGGTGACAAGTGGCGCGGAGGCGGGCGGGGGGAATGCCTGCCGGGGCCGCGAACGCGGTCGAAAAAAAAGGAAAACGGAGCTCATGTGTCAGGTCATTGGCTTGCTATATTGGCAAGCAGCGGAGGCAGCGCGAGTGTGTGTGTGCGCGCGCGCGTTGTTGTGGGATTTTTTGTTTTGAAACTGATTTTCGGGACTCCTCTCTACTCTTGTCCCTGGTCGCGCCGCGTCGTGAAAGCCGTTATTATTTTATTATCATTTTTCTTTTATCGCTCGTTTGAATATCGGCGGGCGGCGCGCGCGAGTCGGTCACACCTTCTTTATTGCAGGGCAGGACGTCGCCCGGGCCGCCGCCGCCGCAGCAGCAGCAGTGTCTGGTTGTCTAGCTTAGCCAAGCCACACGGCCGTGTTGCCTAAGCTGGCGCTGCTGCTGCTGTTGCTGCTCGAGCCTCTCGACCCTGCTGCGCGATTCGGACCAGGGAACCAGAGCTGTACTGTTCCGCTACTCTCACGCGGCAACCGGAAACGCGACGCGCGGGGGGCGCGCGGGCGCGGGGGTGGAGAGGGCGAGGGGGGAGTCCCGCGGGGGCCAGGGGAGAGGGCGGGGAGGGGCAGCGCGCACATTTGGATGTAATCAACTTCCCACCGTTCTCCCCTCCGTTTCAATAATGATTATTCGACGTGCAGTGAACGCAGCAGCGTGCCGGGTCAGCCGCTGGCTAAAGCAAAAAAAGGGAAGTGAGGCACCAGTACAGGAGCCAGGTTGGCTGCCCTGGTGCCGTGCGTGTATACCCGCCTGAATCCTTTTTCACGCCGTTTCACGCACTGTTTCGTCCTGCGGGCAAAGGGGCACTAACGTGGCACTCGAGGAGGGCCACTCGCGGCAGGCGAGCTTTTGGAAGCTGTCGGTCGGTTGTCAATTCCCGACGAAAATAAGAAGTCCCTTTTAAACCGTCGCACATCATAATTGCTGTACCACCGACAAACAGCGCGAATAAGAAATATGTGGGGGGGGGGGGGGTCCTCCGCCCGCAGAGGCCCCTATAGCTCATTTTGTATTTGACCGTGTTCATTAAATCAACCGTTTCGTCTCTTGCAGGCCTGCAGGAGAGCGACCGCTTCAACTACAGCCTCTGCTCGCCGAGCAACTTCAGGGAGAAGATTTGGGTCACCCAAGGAAGTACGTTATGTATAATTTTTATGTGTTTTTTGTTTTGTTTTTTGTTTTTGTTGAGTCTGTCAGAAGTCCCTCCTTCTGCCAACACTCTTCTTCCTGAAAGTGTTCTTACTAACCGTTGCCGCTTTTACAGGGACAGATCGGGTCCAGGAGTCTCCTTGCCCGATCACCGGCGAGTACAACGGTCTGATCCCGGACGCCATCGGACTCTGCGCGAAGCTCTCGTCCGACTGCGCCAACCCGGAGGTCATGTACTACACCGTCTCGGACTGCAACACGGAGGTGTACGAAGGTGAGCTTCGCGATTGAGATTCTCAGGGCACTTCGCAGTCGTAGCTTTTATTATTTACTCTGTTTTGTTGTACTCGCATTTTTAGTATTTATATTTATTTTTTTAATTTTGCCGCTGGCCGGACTGTTTTCAGCTTTCACCCCACCAATGATTCGAGTGCTACTGGTGCATGCTGTAAAAATTATGATGAAAGCTTTTTGTCCCCCACTATTTTTGTAGTGCGATCTAGTCGCTTAGCTGCTACCGCCGCCGCCGCTGCTGCCGCTACCGCCGCCCAGCAGCACGCGCTGCTCTGCAGCTCTTCCACGCCTTGGTGTAGACCGTAGACTTGATGATAAACTCTTTGCAGCCGAGCGCCCCAAGCCCAGGTACTCGACACGTCACCGCCGCGAGGCGGCCGCTGACCCCGACCCCGCGGCCGCGGTGAAGCTCCAGGAGTCGCCGGCGGACGCCTCGACCCCCGCCGCCGCCAACCAGCCGCAGAGCCTGGGCACGGCCGCCTCTAGGATCTACCGCATCAGCAGCAGCCCCCGCGTCACGAGCCCGCTGCCCCCGTCGGACCAGCAGCAGGAGGCGTCCTGGGCCGCCGTCAGCAACCGCAGCACCTCGACGTGGGGCCAGCGCACCGACTCCACGCTCGTGGCTTACTCGGCCCCGCAGCCGAGGATGTACGCCGCCACGGCGCAGGGTCCCATGTACCCCACGTCCTACAACGCGCACCTCAACATCACCACCTCCACCCCCGCGCCGTCGTCCTCCTCGTCCTCCAGCACCTCCTCGACGTCCACGTCGGCCAGCGCGCGGTCGGCGCCCGCCTACCCGGAGGAGGAGGAAGAGTACGACCCGTGGGCGTACCCCAAGATGCACGGCCTGCAGACGACGGCCAGGTCGGTCGCGGCTCCGCCCGCCCGGCCGATGCAGTCGAGGCCCGTTATGTACTTTAACAGCCAGAGCGGCTTCCGCGACCCGGTCGGCGACACCAGGGACGGCGCCAGGGAGTCGGCGCCCAACCCGTTCTACTACCAGGGCCCCGCCGGTGCCAGGGTCGGCCAGGACGCGGAGGCGCCGGCCGCGCCGTCAACGGTGGTGCCGGTGCTGCCCGCCGCCCGGGAGGTGTCCATCGGCTGGCCCACGGCGAGAACCTCCCCTGCCGAGGCCACGAGCACGGCGGGCACCCTGATGGGCACTGTCCGCGGCACCGCCCTGGGCGGCACGTACCGCGGCCGCCCCGTCGAGATCCCCGGCCTGCCGCCGTCGCCGTACGGCGGTTCCGCGCGCATGCGGATCGTCCCCATGGCCGTGGCCGTGCACGGGCCCCCGCAGCCCGTGATGGCGCTGAGTGCGCGCGCGCCCACAGACCGAGGCATGGAGTTCGGCGAGCGCGCCTCCTCGGGCCCTTACAGCTTCCAGGAGCGTAGTAGCTTCCAAGAGCGCAGCTTCCAGGAGCGCGGCTTCCAGGGGCGCGGCTTTCAGGAACGCAGCTCCACGCCCCGCCGCGCCCTCCAGCCCCACGACTCGGGCTGGACGCTGGACGCGGGCGGCCCGGGGGCTGGGGGGCCGGCGCTGTCGCTGCGCCAGGGGGCCATGGCCGCGCCCAGGAGCGAGGCGCGCAGCGCGGCGACACCTTTCAGGATGGAAGGTAGTCCTCTGCGTGTTGTGGTTTGTGTTTGTGTGTTTTTGTTGTCCCCGCCGAGTCGTTCGCTGTTTTTGCCGACCTGTGTTGAGATGCACGCGCACGCCTCGCCCCCTCCACCACGCCACACCGTGATAGCACCCCC